AGATGGATAGGATGCATAAGGCAGAAAAAGATGGATAACATGGATAAGATGCATAAGGCAGATGAAGATAAGATAGAGAAAACATATTCGGTTGGACAAGGTGCATACGGCATATGAGAATTTGAAGGTAGAGAAGGTAGCTAAGATGAGATGAGATGAGACTAGATTGGTTGGTGGGGTAGGCAAACAGAAGGACAGACGGACAGACGGACAGACGGATAGACACGGACAGACAGGCGACAAACGGACAGAGAGACGGACAGACAGACAGGTAGATAGGATAAGCAAATTAATTTGGATGTTTGGCTCTGCAACAAGTGCCAGACGCAATCGGAAGCTTTGCGCAGATCCGCGCAACAGCACTGCTGGCCGTTCCGCAGCAAGAATCAGAACTTCGAATGTTGACATCGGCAGCAGCACGACTGGCCGCCGCATGAATTCAAGCGATAACCGAACCTTCTGCGCTCCGTGATCATCACACACTTCAAAGGTAATGATTTTGCGGAACTCTTCCCAAACAGTGCCTTGCACGAATTTAAGTGCCGCCTTGGTTCCCAACCCCCACACCAATTCCCATCCCAGTTCCCTTTTCAGCTCAGTTCCCATCTCCCTGCCATCCCACTCCCACGTTAGCTTCCTGCCAAAGTTCCCATCCACCCCACCACCCGCTTCCCATCCCAGTTCCCATCTATCGTTCCCACCCAGTTCCGCCTGCCCATTGCTCGGCTCCGTCCAGCCGCTGCGTCGCCGCGTTGCTACGCCCCCAGCTCCCAGCTCACTCCGCCCCCACTCCGGTCCCAGCCACCAAGTACGCGCCAGGCGTGAGTTGTGACAATCGAGCGATGGCTAGCTGGGTGTTGCTGGACCAGCCGGCGCTTAAGCCAAGATCAGCACGGATGTTGAGCATATTGTCCGTGAGTCAGCTGCGATACAAGGCCTTGAGCAGTATCTTTCGGGAGATGCACGCAATGCGGTCGTTGTTGCCTTCCTGTGCGCGAGAATGGATTAGATTAGTTCAGGTTTAGGTTCAGACTTGGATTTAAATTAGATAGATAGACTGGTTGGATGGATGGCTAGATAGATAATAGATTGGACTGACGGACGGACAGACAGACAGAGAGACAGGCAGACAAACAAACAGACAGAAAGACAGACAGACAGAGACAGACAGACAGACAGACAGACAGACAGACAGACAGACAGACAGACAGACAGACAGACAGACAGACAGACAGACAGACAGACAGACAGACAGACAGAAAGACAAACAGAAAGACAAATAGACAAAATAATTATAATAATAATAATAATAATAATAATAGTAGTATCACAAATAAATAAAGTGAGTCAATTAATGATTGGACACACAAGAAAGTAAACAACCAGAAAGACGTATGTGAATACATAATGATTGGAACCACGATTACTGAAATGCGTCCTATCCAAATCTACTGAGTCCTGATACTGCTTCATGCGTCCGAACTCTTACGCCACCCTGCGGTGGGTCGAGCCGACCAGACCATTGATTTGGATGAGGCCCCGATTTGAAGAAACCCCTTGTTGGGGTGAGGGACTTCTGGTTGTGGTTGTGGTTGTTGTTGGCGTTGCTGTTGCCGTTGCTGCTGCTGGCTTTGCTATTGCTGTTGCTCTTGCTGTTGCTGTTGCTGCTGTTGCTGCTGTTGCTGCTGTTGCTGCTGCTGCTGTTGCCGCTGTTGCCGCTGTTGCCGCTGTTGCTGCTGCTGCTGCTGCTGCTGTTGCTGTTGCTGTTGCTGCTGCTGCTGCTGCTGCTGCTGCTGCTGCTGCTGCTGCTGCTGCTGCTGCTGCTGCTGCTGCTGCTGCTGCTGCTGCTGCTGCTGCTGTTGCTGTTGCTGCTGCTGTTGTTGCTGTTGCTGTTGCTGTTGCTGTGCTGTTGCTGCTGCTGCTGCTGTTGGTTGGTTGGTTGGTTGGCTGGCTGGCTAGCTGGCTGGCTGGCTGGCTGGCTGGCTGGCTGGCTGGCTGGCTGGTGGGTGGGTTGGTTGGTTGGTTGGTTGGTTGGTTGGTTGGTTGGTTGGTTGGTTGGTTGTTCCTGGTGATGTTGGTGTTGGTGTTGTTGTTTCTGCTGCTGCTGTTGTTGCCTGAGTATTATGATTATTGTTGTCATGATGATTACTATTGCTTGTTTGTTTTTTAAATATATACTTAGATATTCAGATATCTACATATTCATTCCTCAATTGTTGCGGGAGGAGGCGCAAAATGGTTGTTCGACTCCCGTGTTTACCCAAGGTGCCTGGAAGGAAGTGCGGAAGATTGCGAGGCGTCCGGTTGAGCCAAAGCTGCTTCGGTCGCTCCGAATCACGCAAGCTGCTGCCTCTGGGCGCGGATGGGCCAGGACTCAAATGACAAAAAATGGTCGCACATCCGGAGGTGAACTTCGGATTCTTCCGAAAAAAACCGTACCAAAGCTGCGGAGTGCGCTCATTTCGGAGAAATGCCTAATATGGTTTTGAGGGAGAGGGGGGGAAATCGTTGATAGTGCTGTGGGAAACGCATGTGCAGTTTTGACATTGGCTGGATATCCTATCTGATTTCCGTAACCCCCATTGATTGGGATATCAGACACCTTACCCAAGACAAATATCAAGAATGGCCAAGCAATGGGTGAAATGCGCGCGCTCTTGCCTCCTTGCCCGCAGTTTCTTTCTCCTCCTTCTCTTCTTCGACCTTCCCCTTCTCTTCTTTGACCTCCGGCGTCTCTTCTTTGACGCTGGCCTGGACACATGCAATGAAGCAATTACATAGTGGAAAACAACTGCTTGATGCGGCGAGAAAAGCAAATAATACCTGCATCCTTCCACCCACAAACGATCCTGGGGGGTGTCTGGCTTGGCTACGTTGACATAAAAGGAAGTCTCTGGCTGCGTTGATTTTAAAAAAGGGTCCGTGTTGGTTGGTGGGAGCGTAGCACTTGATGCTGCATCTTCCAATCTTAGGTCAAAGAAGGCATCTCTATCTTGTTGCGGAAGGAAGCCCTTAAGCAATGCCAATGGGAACAAGCCAACCAAAGTTAAGAGAAAAACAACAGAGCCATGACATGGGTGTCTCCAGTTTCTGATGCCAAAAGTCCTCCAAAGCCCACTTGGGCATGTGTCAAGACAAAGTGGAAAACCCAACATTGTGGCCTTGTCCTTGATTTCCAATTAAAACCAGCCAGACGCGCACGCCACGCACGCCCTCGGAGAACTTTGTCTCGGCCCATCTGCCTCAACCACTTGCGCCACGGACATCTCCTCGTCCTTGTCGACCGTCCTGTCCTGCGGGAAGTGCCCAGTGGGTTCATCCTTTATCACGGTACATGGCCCAACTCAGCTTTCCTCAACCAGCCCTGCACATGCCATTCCGGTATTAGGTCTGTTAGACCCCACCCCCTCGACGCTACTCCTAAACCTCCCCCTAAGCACTGGTTTATTGTGGTTCCATTCCCGACCCAAACCTTATACGCGCAGCATTCACCATCCCCCGTTTACAGGGGAGGATCTTCGGTGTTAGGTTTTGTTAAATAGACCTCACGCGCAGCTGGAACATAGGATATCAAAAACTATGACTCTCTGCAATCCCCTGACACAAACAACAAACGGTCGTGATGATGCATAGGCAACCTATCCACAGATTCCTGCAAGAGCAGCGAAAATTTGTGATACAGCCACCGGCCTCCAGCTCCTCATCTGAGTCCTTCTCATCCAGAGTGCCTGCCTCTCAAACGTTCCCCCGGAAAAAAAAAGGGGGAAAAAAAAACTCACGCCAAAAGACAATGTGCCTTTCCAAAAGGAGCATCCAAAATCAGTGGAGACCTTAAGATTGACACTCGAAGCTCGCTTAGCAAGACGGACAACAGCCCCAGCCATGTCAATAGTGTGGAAGCCAAATGTTGACAGGTTCTTAGGACCCAAATGACGAGATTCCCATCTCTAGTCCAAACCGTGCCGAGACTTGGTTTCGACCAGGTCAAACATTAACACCCCAAATGACTATGGATTACTTTCCAATTTAGTGGGAAATGTGAAATGTCATATATCTTAGTGGTGTGTTGTTTGCTTGGTTGCTGTTGACCCCCCTGCAAAAAGTTCAACTTGTTAGGGGTTTAGTGGAAAACCATTTGATTTCCCCAAAAAGTTGAATTCTAAAGATCCAACCCAGTAGCTGTCAAGTTTGGTACTAACACCACCGGGCCTTGGGCTGCGGCGGGCCGCTAGGCCAACACCTCATGCACTTGGGTTCTTGGCACTTTTGCCTTGCTTTGAAGAGAAACCGAAAAGTGGCGCCACCCCCGCCACTCTGCCATTTTGGGGCGTTCCGATTTTTTTGGCACTCACCTACTGTGAGTGGCCACCCGTGAGTCCACATAAGGCCGTTCGACTCGTCTCGTACAAAAGGGCGCCTTATACGAGCAAGGTCGCAGAGTGGTCGCTGTACCCCACAAGCTGCGCTTCTTTGTTCCTCTTGCGGCCAGTGAGGTCAATGCCTCGACTTTTTCCAGCCAATGAGGCATGGCATGGCTGGGGTCATGGTTCCCTTAATAGGAACCTTCATGTTGGTTGTCTAAAACCCCAAGTAACGGAGTGTTTGGACCATGGCACCAGTGGAGACTAGAACGATGCTGAGAGAGGCCAGTTCGACGGCCAAACCCATGCACCTTGGGACTGGCCATTCTCATTGGCAGGTCGCAGCAGTCGCACCTGTCGGCGAGCGATCCCTGTCCGAAGCGAACTTGGCGAAGGCACTACGCGATCCCAAGCAAAGGATCGAACTGCTTTATGCTGAAATGGCTGTGGGTCAAAACCAATACCATTTTGGGGTAGGTGAATTCACCACCTACTTTAGTCTATTTAAGATTGGGGATTGGGTCCCGTTCGCTGGGGAGTCACCGGGCTTTTAAACCCATCGCCAAATGGCTCTGAAGGGCACCAGCCATTTCTGGGCCACCGCGAACCAGGGGCCGCCCCTTTCGCATGGCTCGCGATTCAGTGCTTGGCGGCGTCCACCAGCTCCTCGTCGGGTATCTCCTCTGCCATGCAGGCAAAGCCATACCTCAGCGATCGTCAAGCCATCGCTACCCACGGCATCAATCCACTTGGGAAATGAGTATGTCAAAATAGTGGGGGTGTCTTTCTTCAGGTTTCCCTCTAAACCAACTCCAAAAAGGGTGTGGTGGGGCAGTTGCGAGGAAATCACCCACAGCCAGTCATTGCAAGAATCTTGCCCGGACAAGGGGGCCCTGGTTGGGGCTCGAAAAATTCTCCATGGCTGACCTGATGCCGAGGCTGCTCTTGGAGCGCTTCGATGATGTCCTTCGCGCGCCTTTCGGTGCACCTGTCCACCAAGATCGCCTCGCCATGCGAGCGCTCGCTTCGTGCCGGTTCATCGCCGCATCGGCGCGAAAGTCGCGGTCAGAAAATGTGTGGTTCCCAAAAAGAGCCATAATGACGATGACGACGATGATGGTGACGGTGACGACGATGATGATGACGATAATGTTGATGATGACGACGATGATGATGAGGATGATGGTGATGGTGACGACGATGATGACGATGATGATGATGATGGTGATGATGATGATGATGACGACGACGATGATGACGATAATGGTGCTGATGGTGATGATAACGATGATGGTGATGGTGATGATGATGATGATAACGATGATTGTGATGGTGATGATGATAACGATGATGGTGATGGTGATGATGATGGTGATGATGTTGACGATGATGACGACAAGACGACGATTATGATGACGAAGATGGTGATGATGACGACGATGATGATATGAGGACGATGATGGTGATGACGGCGATGATGATGGTAATGATGGTGCTGATAACGATGATGATGATGGTGATGATGATGGCGATGATGACGACGATGATGATGACGATGATAGTGATGGTGACGACGATGATCATGACGATGATAGTGATGGTGACGACGATGATCATGACGATGATGATGATGATGATGACGACGATGACGATGACGATGACGATGACGATGATAGTGATGGTGCCGACGATGACCATGACGATGATAGTGATGGTGACGACGATGATCATGACGATGATGATGATGATGACGACGACGACGATGATGACGATAATGGTGCTGATAACGATGATGGTGATGGTGATGATGATGATGATGATGATAACGATGATTGTGATGGTGATGATGATAACGATGATGGTGATGGTGATGATGATGGTGATGATGTTGACGATGATGACGACAAGACGACGATTATGATGACGAAGATGGTGATGATGACGACGATGATGATATGAGGACGATGATGGTGATGACGGCGATGATGATGGTAATGATGGTGCTGATAACGATGATGATGATGGTGATGACGATGGCGATGATGACGACGATGATGATGACGATGATAGTGATGGTGACGACGATGATCATCACGATGATAGTAATGGTGACGACGATGATCATGACGATGATGGTGATGATGACGATGACGATGACGATGATAGTGATGGTGACGACGATGATCATGACGATGATAGTGATGGTGACAACGATGACGATGACGATGATGGTGATGGTGCCGACGATGACCATGACGATCATAGTGATGGTGACGACGATGATCATGACGATGATGATGATGACGACGATGACGATGACGATGACGATGATAGTGATGGTGCCGACGATGACCATGACGATGATAGTGATGGTGACGACGATGATCATGACGATGATGATGATGACGACGACGATGATGACGATAATGGTGCTGATAACGATGATGGTGATGGTGATGATGATGATGATGGTCATGATGAGGAGGAGGATGAGGGGGAGGATGGTGGCTGTGGTATGGGCACCCTCCCCTGGGAAAAATGACGGTCCCCTCCCGCCTGGCCGACGCCGATCGGCTCCCTGGTGGCCTGAGCGAGCCGAAGCCGGGCAGGCCTGTGGGCTGGGCGTGGATTCCTGCCTGGTGCGATAGGGACCGAGGGAATGAACCCAGGGACCGAGGGAATGAACCGAGGGACTGGTGGAGGTTTGGGGGGGGTGTCCGATTCCTTTTAGTGGTTGGATTCAGACCACTTTTGGAGGGAGCACCCCCCGAACAAAAAATGGGACGGGTTTGTTCATGGGTCAACATTGCAGGAAACCACCAGTTGGATGGTTCATAGGCATTCCCCTCATTCGAGCAAGTTATGCAAAGGAAGCAACAACTCCCAAGATCATTGGTTTGATCACGGGTTTTTTGACGAGTACCAGCAGCTCACTCTCGTTCATGCGACACCGGGCTTTAAAAAAAAGGAACCCAAAAAAACACCATGTCCAGGTCAAAAGACGAACCACTAGACAAAATAAGGAATGGGCTTAAAGCCAGCGATCGAAAAGCTTAGAAGAAACTTCCGCAGCACTGGGAAATTGAGCTGGTGCTCTCCAACAAGGCATGCACCTCCGAGACTACATGCACTCGAGGGGTCAGCCTTCAAAAACGTAGTGTGCGGTTGCATTTGTTACGTTCCCGGGCTCAAACAAATGAGAGAAGAAAAGAAAGAGAACGAGAAAGAGAAAGCAAAAGAAAAGAGAAAAGAGAAAGAGAAAGAGTAAGGGAAGAAAGAAGAAAGATGAGAAAAAGCAAGAGAAAGAGAAAGAGAAGAGGAAGGCAAAAGAAGAAATCACATATTTTTGCAACTGCCACCCCCCGGCTCCGAAATCTTTTGCTATCACAAAAAGCCTCACCAGCAATTCCACGTCTGCACACTTCCGCGGGAGGCCCCCCCCAGAAAAAAAAACGGCTCCGTTTTTTCTTTGAGCAAACCCGGGGGGTACCTCGCCTCACGAGCTCCAAAAAACCCTGCCCATCGCAGGCCGTTTTGGATTGCCTCTTCGTAAGCGCCGTGGATGGCCTCCAGCGGCACGTCCACCGTCTCGAGCATGAAACCTACAAAGTACTCCTGGCACTTTTCGGGCTGAAATCGCGACAAAGCCAGGCAAAGCCAGCCCAGGAAAAGAAAGAGACCCCATACCAAGTTTGTTTGCCCTGGTCTGCCCATTTTGGAGAGAACCCAACAGGATTCGTTGGGAAACGGCCTAAGAAGCAGGCGGCTCGTGTTCCGCGAACCCCCGGATCCTTCTTGTTCCAGAAGTGATGCCCAGTGCGGCCGATTCCTCAGCCAGATTCTTCCAATGGCCTTCCCAGAGGTCCCAAAGTCCGCCCAGAAAGATGCGTGGTGAAAATGAGGGGGCCCCTTTTGGGTATCCCTTCAAAAACAGGCGGCACCTACTGGCAGCACCAAAACCACCGGCCACCATCATGCTTGACAACTCCCACGAATGTGCACTTCAGGCGGCTTTTGGCCCAACAGTTCCCGGCCGGATATTGTTTTGTCTTTTTCGCTCAACAAGAGGCGGACACGCCACGGGGGAGGCATGATGATGCGCTCGCCGTTGAACTCAAACTCCGCAAGCCCGGCGAGGCCTCAAATCAAACTGGCACAGGCCTTCCTTCGCCTAGTTTGGTCTTGTCTGGCTGCAAGTCTCCATTCTGAGGCTTGCCAACCCCCCCCAACCTTTAGGGGGAGAGATTTACAGGGTGACGCTTTCTCCCAAGCATGCACGACCAGGAACAGTACAAAGGAAAAGCTGCAAGGAAGCCCTTCTTCAATCGCCATCCGCAGCTTGCGTGTATGCATGTGCTTTTTTTGAGAAAATGAGCCGCAAAAAAAAGAAGAGGAAAAAAAGAGAAACCCGCAGGCCGCGCATTTCCTGGGTTGCCCATTTCACCGAGAAAACACGCGCGACCCGGCGATCGCGCACCAGGCTCCGCGACCAAATCACCGGCGATCGGCCTCTCAGGTCATAGGCCTGCCGCTTCTTTGGGTCG